CAACAATTGAATGTCATTCACGACTAATTTAATCGAATTGCCCTACACCTAAGTACCGAATAACAACGTGAGTGACACACTTACAGACGTATTTATCTATTGTTAGATAGATTCTAATGTAATCACTATACATAGTTGAATAGTCCTTGCAAAACAATGCTTTAACATCCTATATGATTTGTAAACCTCTTTTAGATGTTAAGCAGTAATGCTAGGAGAAATAGTCGTAATATCAGTGTCTTATCTTGTGCTCCTAATAGCCTGATATCAAAACTAGTGATAGCTTTGAAAACACCATCTTGACTATTATTTCTCGAAGAGGCAAAAATCACTTTCTCATATTATTTAGTTCAATTTAATAGATAGTGTATCGGGTTGCTTTTCAGACTACAAACTACGATTAATATGATAAATCTCTTAATTTGATAGAAAATACGCAAAAGTTTTGCAAGCTTACATAAGCACCGGTAACCGCTTACCATCAGGTGGGCCGTATATTTTTGCGACCGTAGTAGTATAAAAAATAACTACTCAAATATGTATTTAATTTAATTTGACTACAAATTTCGTATTCAGAATTCATTTCACACACATCCAACAAATAAAAATTTGATGAAAAAATCCAAACATTTCCTTCCTGCAAGTGACATAAAATCAATAAAATCATGTTCCAGCCATATCGCTAGCCTTGAAAACGCATTACGCCACGTTCGTACGGTTTGCGTTTACGTTTGCTTTGCACGTGGGGACTCATAGGGCTTCCTTCCGGAAACATAGGAAGCAGCTGATAACCTTCTGAAAGACCTTATTGTAGTTCAGTAGGGTTGCGTTTACAGTGACACTGTCGGGGCAAAGTTCGTGAATCGTATTTATTTGGCGTTATGAATCTTGGACCGAAACCGATTAGAAGATATTTTTGTTGGTTACCTTTAAATGATTTAAATATAAGTTTTTCATTTCAAACTCTTATTATTGTACCTCGGAAATTACTTCTTTACATAATAATATGACGAATTCTATCGCGTGTACCTATCATTGATATAAAATAAATATGTAAATATTCTATTACTAATGAGATCCAAAAATAATAACATAACATCACGCCTTTTTATCCCCGAAGGGGTAGGCAGAGGTACACATTATACCACTGTACAATGTAACACCCACTTTTCACTATTTATGTTATGAGTCCCATGTAATAGGGGATGAGATTCAAAAATAATGTGTGCAAAAAAATGAAGTAGGTATCTACGTATTATTTAGTTATTTTCAAAGTAAATATACCTGGATTTTCTGAAATCGTTTGTGAGTTTCTGTTTTGAATTCGAAATTCGCTTTTGCCCTTCGATGTCTGTATTTGCTCTTTTTAAATTGGGATAAATCCGATTTGCTTGATTCAATTGACGTGAATCCGGCTTTGGAACTTTCAGGATTTGTAGGCGTATCGTTTAGGAGAAAACTAGATTTTATATTTTTTATAAAAAATATTAGGCGAAAGGTTGAACAGAATAGTTTGAATTTGTTTACTTCGTACTTTAAAACAGATAAAGATACTTTGATCAAGTGATACACTTGCATAAATCATGCACCCCGTTAATTTCAATTGATTAATAAACCAACGACTACAGCTATCAGTATAAGTCCATACAGTCCCATGTTCCTCTCATAATCCAGTCTAATTAGTCACATATACGAAGAAATTAGCAGGTCCCACAATAAACCAATTTTCACACATCAAGCCATAAATATCTAATAACTTAACCCTTACCACGCAGACTTTCTCTCCGCGCCGTATAAGGGTCACAAAGACCGCGTGTTTCCTTGTAAGACAGTGACCGAGTGAACTTCGGTTAACTAGACAGTGAAGGGTTATCGCGGGCCGGTCATCGCGCGATTGTGTACATTCTGTATTAGAATACGAGATTGCCGGTCTTGGGACAGGGGTAATTCGGTTTTTGAGGGTTAGGAGGTTTCCTTGCCATTGATTTAATGACTTCTCGGTCTTACGGGATATCTTCGAAGTCTGGAGATTTGATATCGGTATTCCAAAGTAAGGTTACGAAGGTCAGGTTGCAATTCCATGTTAAATAGTAGAATTTGCCGCATTTGGTTCGACGAAGTAAGCTGCAAGATAAATGGGAAAGGCTGGTAATGAGGGCAGATGATAAAATACAGCTTGATTCGAATGCACTTCTTGTTGCAAATAAATTCTGTTGCGATGAAACTGGACAAGATAGCATTTATGTAGCTTACTAAAATTACATTGTGCGAAGCCTTACCACTGCTTCTGTTTAACAATAAACTTTTATTTGCTGAAGACAGTTCTTAAAGGACACGTATGTAATAAAATATTTATTGATCCTATAAATAATAATAAATAGTAGCAGAATCAATCATCTCATTCCCAGCTCCAACCTCATACATTTCTAATGACACATAATGTAAGAAACTATTACCACTGTTCACATAACACGTCGTTTCCCACAATTTGCTCAAATGATTGATGTGATGATGCTGTCAAATCAACATGGATAGCACTGGTACTTATACATATATGTCTAATAAATAAATGCTCATTACGATGTGGTTGATAGATTTTTGCATATATTTATAGATATTGTTTTCGTAGAAGATGATGTTACAGTTGCAGATGTTTTTACAGAACAAGGAAAACTGTTTTTGAATTGATCTCTTTCATTTTGACTCTTTTCTTTCTCTTGATTTCAGTAACTCTGCATACTCCTTTGTCATGTCAATTTTCTATATTATCTCCCTATTTATATACTGTGGTCTTTTCTTTCATTATTTTTAACCCAAAACCACTTTTGAATTCAGTAGCCTCTGACAGAACGATAAGATAAGCTGTTCGTTCGTTATTAACATCTTCACTCCCAACAGCTGCTATAAGAAGCAGCACTCCACCGTAATAATATGCAGTATCAGTTAGATATTCAGCATCCGGTCTCCTAATTGATTCCGCAGTTATTAGCTCCGCTTCATTGAACATCGCGGATCTCTTTGTTAATTATACTAAGAGCCAGTAAATCTTTTTCTTCTTCACATTTTTGTTTTGCTACAGAATTAAAATTGCAAATGAGTTTGTTTACACCCGATGTTTCCGCTCTTAAAGATTGTTTTACATGGTGTATAGAATTTTGAATAGAACTTGTAAAGAGTAAATAATGTGAATTAGTGATTTCGTTTTTGTTAATAATGCATGTCCTCTGACAAAATATGTACATTATGAGATATGTTGAGGAAAACTAAAAATGGAGCATTGCCACTAATGCCAAATAACTTAAGACAAAGGCCGTTCCGAGAATAAAAGAATATCAACCATTACTTCAGTCTCATTCTCATTCGATGTTTTTGTGTTACCTTTACCTTAATAGATTTTAATCTCTCCTTGCATACAATTTTACTAATCACCGTACTAAGGATTTTTATTGTTTACCGGTCGTCTATCGATCGTTACAGTTACGTGAGTTTGCGCAACTTCGATCATATTGCACGCGATTTGCATACAATGGGTGCGATAAGCGATGCCTCGGAGTTTGGCTAATCCGAAATAGTTGCGAGTTCGAGTAGGGTGTTATTTGAAATTATGAGATAATCTGTAATTGGCTGGTCCGTTCGCTTTTACATATGATTAGGGAGATGTAATCGAATTCGGACCTACGTTCTACATTCCGCGAGTATTATCATGTATTATCTGGCTATGCATATTTTTCGAACGGTATTTCGTCTAAGCTTATTCGGTTGTACGTCTAACGTGATACAGTTTTATGTTCTCGTAACAGTTCAACTAAATAGTTAAGCTTTGAAACTTTTCTAATGACTTTAAGTCTGATTAATAGCTTCCCATCGGAACTAATTCATCTATTCTCTTGCTCTTGCTACACCATCTTGCTAATTAATTAGTATTTTGAGGGCGCCATAAGTTTAACTCTTCACTGCCGACTGGAGTTATTTCAGAAGATCGAATTACAAGACAGACATCGCCACTTTTAATTGTACCATACCATGTATAAACCTAAGTTCTAATCGAACCATGTTAATAGCATGAAAGTGATCTCTCTTAGTGATTGAATAATTTAATTATATTTGATTTATAAAATGACTGAAACATGATAATCTATTGAACATAAACACTTCCACGTCCAGGGATATTAGGAACTCCTTGGGATGATTTCGAAATAATCACTTCAGACTTTCTTAGGAGTGGTCCTACTGTATGGGCAATGAAAGCTGGTAGCCTCCACCATTAATCTTGTTTCCAAACATCGGTTTAATGGAGTGTGTAGTTGCATGTACGGGAGCGGTTGCATTCAGATGAGTTGGGCAACAGTCAGGCAACAATGGACCGGGTGCCGGGCGATACGGTCGGTGCTTCCGATAGTTACGGTGGCTGCTAGCTTTGTGGATCAGCTTCTAGTGATGAAACGGATGATAGACGGAGGGTTTTGTGTGTTGAAAGAAATGTATTAAAAACGAACAGCCCTAAAAAAAGGCAAATAAAATCTCAACGATGTTTTCAACCTTAACACTGTTATTTTAGATTTAGTAGCAAAATGCGTTGATTTGATACACAATTGACACATTAAAAAGGCACATCACGATATTCTTAATCGTCCATTTATAGTCGATGTTGCTTGTGACATTACTCAACCGATTAAGACAAAGGTAGGAAAAATATTGGTCTAAAGTTTTAGTTACTTATTCAAGTACAAAATTTGTAGCTACAACTTGAGTGTGACACTAACATCACGCGAGAACATAGCCACTAACAGTACCTTTAATGACATCGAATTACTTTTTTTCGCCGAATATTTTGTGGGTCACAAACTTTTATTTTTTAATGTAGTTATTTTGGTTTGCGTGTTTATTTGACTGTATTATTGTAATGTAATGTAGAAGTTCATACATCATTTATCTCTGGTTACATTTCTTCAAACAGATTTTGGTTGTAATATTTTTTTTTTCACCATTGGGTTAAAACGATGATTTCTTTGTTGCAGTTGGTGGTAAATTTGGCGCTAGTAATATATCATGCGTTGGATTATACGCATTCAGAGGACGAGGAACGGCTCATATCGCCGGACCTCGAGGGACTTATCACAGAGATGACGGCGTGTGATACCACAGGTAAGAACTTGACAGTTATTATGCCAATATTCTTCTGCCCTAGGTTGCATGTTATGGTTTGAATTTGTGGAGTTTTTTGTATATCTTGTGTTGTCTTGTTGATAACGATTAACATTCTTACGACTAAAAACATAAAAAAAATCAGCAAATTACTTTTGAATAGTTAAAGAAGTTAAAGCATTGAATATTTTTAGGATGACTGGATAATGATATCATTTATGTCGACCTTAGCTATCCCTTCAAATTTAATATTATCATTATTTCCAACCCCATGAGAAATTTTGTAACATTTCATAAAATGTTTTGCAGAACCCGGAACACTAGGACTCAAAGCGATCTCTTAGCAATTCTATTTCTCAACAGACCATTATGTCCAATTACCTATCAGTCATTTTCTGACCACACTCAATTACATAACCGTTATTATTATCCATTTACTACCAATAATTACTTCATGTTATTAGGTTCGTGTGTTTGCGAGACAATTGGCTATTTATTTAAACATTCTCATGGTAACTACTCAAAATATTGAGAAGATATCTATATTGTTTTGGACGTTTTTAAGAGTTCATTGTCGCAAAATGTTTCACATTTTAACCTGTTTTCAATTTGTCGCAGTTTTTAGACCTACGTATCACTTAATATCATAAACATTGTTCATATATTTGTTCTTGTATGTAGCTTAAGTAATCATTTCATCTCACTTGATACTAGTATTGATACAATAAGTTTTCTCAGAACTTTCACCCTGTTGACCTTTGTGTAGTGTCGCGTGTAGTACTTGATGAACGTTAGCGATAGTTGAACGAATGTTTACTTATTCAGATTTGCATTATTTATCTTCTGTTTGTTGATCTTGTTAGAGTTTATTATCGATTATCTCGATAGAATAGTTATTACGAGACATAAAACATTTTGTGGTTTTACGACGTAATCGACGAAAGTAATGATAAATTGAATGTTAAATTTTTTGACTTCATTTTATCCTATCTACAGATTTTATGACTCAAGATCATAGGGGTAAAGTTATATGCAGAACATAACCAGAATAGTATTCAGGTTCATTGATCTTTAAATAAGCATCACTTTGATCCCAAGCGCCTTTTACCGTATCAACAATGTTCATCGATGCGAATGATTCCAAAATATCAAGATGACTCCCATGCTGACCATGGAAATATAATATTAAACGCATGACTCTCCATCTTCTCCAATTTGTTTTTAATAAATGCAAAAGATTTCATTTCAAACGTTTGTGAAGTTCCCGCTGAGATATTATTCAAGCCGTGCGTGCGAACGATGTTGGCCAAAGACGTTGTTGGCCCGTTATCTTGGTCGTACATTGGACAACCAACTACGCTACAGACGCTTATAGAAACATATCCATCGCTTTTTTAAAACAATGAAGATTATTCAATAGGTAATGGAGAAATGGATATTAATGATGACTTTCGTTGACCAATATATAAAAATAGGGTTATAACGTCTAATGATATGAATTCAGACAGTAATGATTGATGTTGCGTGTTTCGCCCTTCCATTTCTCCCTTCAATGAATTTGCTCGGTATGTGACCTTGATTGGACTGAGTAAGATGACTATATCGTTGTTATACTTTTATTTTTACTTTCATTTGTACTTATCTTACAATAGCTAACGTAAAATGAGACGTAAGTTCAGAATTCACTCAAAGAACACACTAATAAAAATTACTGATCACATTTTAACTTTTTCCAAATCGTAGAATTAATATTATAGGTGCAGAATTCATATATAGAAAAGTGTCACAATTATAAAAATAGTTGATTTATGTAAACAACTTAATTGAGTAAATAATAATAAAAGTTTTCGCTTTATTATTTTCAGTTTATATGTCTATTAGATTACTGAAAGTGTTGTTTGTTTGTCAGCAACTCAGTAACGAGCTTCGTTATGTAGTTTGTTGTGTAAACATGAATCGGTTCGGTGTTACGTTTTGAAATTATGTCTCTTTGTATATTTTATCGTGTTTTCAATAGCAGCTGTCTTGATTCCAATAGTGTTGTGATGTTCTGCTCTGTATTTTATTTGTTATGATTGAATAATACATGTGTAGCGGTAAATGAGGCAGTGTTTAGTATCTCAGTAGAATTCCGCTTATTTAAATCTGAACTGTATTAAATAATAGTCACAAGATACTCAACCACATTTATCATCTGTGCTTTTCACACCATAAGTCATTTTAGCCATCTGTTTAAAAATTTTAAAAGTTTGTTCTAGTTTTCTAACACTTATTGTTTGTCACTCCAGAAAAAGTTGTTCCACTTTCATCAAAATATTGATCTCATCTTTAACACACCATAAATGCTATTATCACCATTTGAATTCATAATTTTCTTACACACACCAACAATTAGCACTTAAACAAAGCGTCATTAAATGAAACCCCATAGAATTCTAGTGTAGCCATGGGAATGTCTTCACCTATCATAGAGATGGATCTTCCACTATAAGAAGACCTGACATTTTGCAGGCTTCCTCCTGATTGAAAGTTCAGTTTAAACTGGAGAGTATAGTTTGACATGCTGGTCGTCTATCCTATCATTGTATGGGAACTTCAGTCCCCGATATTAATATTGCCATGTTATTGTTCAATTTGAGGTCAGGTTCAATTAACTTTTTATTTGTCTTTTACAATGTGCGTGTACCGTAGAAACATGTGTTCTTCATTAAAGGTCCGTTAAGTTGTGTCTTCTTCCATTACCTATAGAAAGAATTTGAAAGCTTAACCATATTCAACCAATTTTATTTATGCTTGGGTGACCGAGGATCCTATAAACGACATATCACTGTATGCTTAATATTTCGACAACTTACCTCAATTTTTGAAACCCAGTGACAATATTACGTTAATGGAACGGAAACCCAGCTCGTAACTGAGAACATTTTATATTAGTATTTCAAGTAATAATACTTGAAATGTTTTAAAAAGTGCTTACCTGATCAATATGAGAAATTCTGAGAACTCTTCCATGATACAAATATAATAAATTTCTTTCATTGCTATGTTCTCATTGCATTCCAGTCCACCAACGGTGTTACTTCCGTCCATTCTCAATGTTGCTTTATCTGAATTGTGTTCACCGAAATACTCTGACACTGTTCACAAGTAATTAGATCAATGTTTTACGTTAAACAAATAATTTCCTTTCCGTCTTCTTTAAATGGTAGTAAGTAGAGTATTTTTTGGTACAAGATTGATCATTGAAGGATTAAGTTTGTGATCGTTAGTATATCTTAACATGCGAAGTTTAGATTAAACATCACGATTAATTCCGTGGACTTGTATGTTAGTGGCACGATTGTTTGGCTTCATAGAAACTTGTACACTATGATATGCAATCATCTCATCGTGGTTTGCACGCCCCATTTCATTAACATACGCAGATATAGTCATGTCCTACAAGATTGGATATTAATTTTCACTTTCTACAACGTCGTCGAGTCCACCTTATGCATGCTTCTATCTCAGCCAGACAGGCTGTCTGCGTGATGACATTTGGGCCGCCCCACGACGGTGTTATCAGGGACCTTTGCTCTCGCACCGGCTCGGTCGCCTCCCATCGCGTTTAGTTCACAATGCAATGATACAATTTGTTCCGGCTGTCTTTCACCTCCCTTTCCAACTCTCACGGGCCCACTCAATCTAAATTAACTTGTCATATTTTCTGCTTTTCCCTCGCAAAGGTAGTTTTTGCACAACATCGAGCCGACACAGTCTCGACTCATAATCGAGTTGTAATTTCTCCGACTACATATTTACAGCTTCCTGCAATGTTTCCTATACGCAGGGGCAAAGACGAATTTATCGCCTTTTAATAGCTCACGCAGGAAAGTGTACCGTTTGGTATCGCCCATAATTTTATGCCAATCAAATCGTAAACACCTGGCTGCAGTTGCAATGTCAACAGTTTGTAGTTTATGAATAAGAAAATCGCGCTGTAAAACACACCGCGCGGATAATTTGTGAGTGGCTTAAAGGGAATGTACACACTTGTTCCGATCGTTATCAAGAGTCGATCGTGTTGTATCGAGCACTGGGTTGTCTGATACAACAGGGCCGTCATAAATCTTAAAAACGATTTTGATCATGAAGTTCATGGCCGCCTGTTATTGACGTGTAACTGTTTATTTTGTTACAAGTGAGCAATCGAATCGCATCGAAAGTATCGATCGGTACGAGAGATGCTAGATGTAAATGCTGGTCAGTGGGTCACATTGGACAGGTGAATAAGTTGAGAACACAATGGATGATATGACTGCTAGGCTATTGTTCGGAAACATCCAACTTTTTTTGTCGGCGTGATGTTTGGACGACGACATTATCTTTATTGATCTGACGTATTGGATAATGCTTGCACCGCTTCGAGGTCATTGGCTTTGAACTATATTTTCTCTATTTTTCATATTTTTAACCGTATATAGATAGAAAAACAAAAAAATCACAATAGACAAATAAAATGTTTTCTAATTCATATGGAAGTCAAATAGGTAAGCCAAGCGCAACCCTAATTACGGGACAATACGTCACTATTTTGCCACAACACCGCACACCACAAGGCCACCACAAAAATCTTGAAGAGAAAGAAAGTTTTCATTTATCTTTAAGTTTTATATGCAGATCTAGGGAACAATGTTCACGATTTTCCCACGGCTGCGGTCGTTTTTGTATGGTACGATTCTTTTATGGACGTAAAAGGTTAACGCTATCTTAAGTAATGATTTGATGGTTTTACGGATTTGGAGATGCGCTTGATGATTTATAAATCATAACTGTGTTGTTTTATGCGTGTAAACTATTGTTTTTCTCAATACATGCTGTCATTGTTCAATCCCGTGAGCTCAAGGTTTTCTCATTATTACTTTTATGGGGTTCTTAACTTTAAATTCAGTTACAACACAAAGTTAGTTCATTTTATTATTCTCAGTGTTACCTTGTTCCTTGAATCCCTGCTACTTAGA